CGTGTTTATCGACAAGTTTAAGGAGATTGTTAGTCTATGACTGTTGTTACCCTATCTCTATCTCTATCTCTACAAATCTACGGTCATTTTGATCTTGGTAATAAACATCGTTTCTAATTCCTTGTTTCCACACAAATGTTTACGCTTGTTATAAATTTTAGACATTGTGAAACTGTTTTTTATTCTATCGTGATTTATTGTAGAAAATTTTTAAATATCCCCTTTTAAAAAATAGTTATTCATAAAATTCTAAATTTCCATTTCGATGCAATAGTTGACATTATTTACTTTTGAAAATTTGGTAATTATTTTTAAGTGGGGTTAACCCCATTTTTGGCCACAACTAGGTGAAAAATTGACATTTTCTAATTTCTTTTGATTCTGCAAAAAAATAAAGATTTTGATAGCTTTTTTGCCTTCAAAAGTTGGAAATAATTCTGGCTCTCATGTTTTTGGATAAAATTTCTATTTTATCTTTTTTTGATATATTTTTTTTTTTGAAAATTACATAAAAAAACAAACAATTAAAAAAAAAAGTTGAATATCACAATTTTTTTAAAAATTAATAAATTTTTTTGAAAATTTGTTAAAATGTGATAATCAACTTTTTTTTTTTAATTGTTCATTTTTTCAAAAAAAAAAAAAAAAATATAGCAATTAAATCAAATAGAAATTTCGTTCAAAAAAATTAAAATTAAAATGTTTGACCCCACTTGTAAATATTTTCCATTTCAACAAAATATCTATTAGCAGAACTCAACTAATAAATTTATAACCTCTATCGAGAATCGAAAGCTCGAAGTCAAGTGAAAAAAGAGGTGAAGTTAAAGTCAAAGTACTCGTATTATATGATATTGTTTGGGTAATACAAAGTATACAAAGTAAAGTTCTATTTGGAAAGAGTAAGTATTTAGTAAGCTAGTAAAAAATCGTATACTCGTACACCTTTACCTTTATACTTATATACAACTTCTTCTGGGATCGAGATAAACGTGCTGGCTTGTAAAGGTAAATCACATACATGTTCAAGCGCAACGCGTATCGCGGCCATAAATACCTGGTGAGTGGATAGGAGTATAAGGAGGTGAAGGAGGTTCAATAGGAGGAAGAGCCTCACTGAATCCTTCAAAGTGTAGGTAGTATACTGATACCGATACTAATACCATTGCTGATATTCATAGACTAAAGAGTAAAGAGTAAAGAGTACTGCAACTAGTATTGAAACAAGTCAGTCGTATCTACCTACATACTCGTACTCATACCGATACCTTTCGGAGCAGCTTCTTGGGCTCGGATCGGCATATATGTACAGAGCCAGCTTTCCAATGCAATCCACCGGATGGTATTTTACGCGTGTAACTTTAAGTTGTCCGAGGTGAGAAACCGCGTGCCGATGGTACCAAGATCGACTACCTCAGAGGGCCCGAGACCCCGTTCAATTGAGATATCGCGTATATCGCGCGACCTTCGGAAAACGTGATATCGATTCTTAGAGTCCTTACCTGAAAGAGCCAAAGAAACGCCAATCGTTAAATCCTCTGTACTACTCGAGCTCGGACTCGGGTTTACTTTTATTTAATATTCTCACCTAAACAAAGACGTACACACTGTTAAATAGACAGACATTTATTTATGTAGATATTTAAGTCTGTGTTAAGGTGACTTTTTTTCTTTAGCTCGTACCAAGACCGGCCTTTCATTTTTATTTTATATTATATTTATATATTTATCTATATCTATATCTATATCTATATTGAGATATCTTTATCGCGAATTCCGGTAAACGGGCCGATGGTTTTATGTGTGTGACCCCAACTCGGAGAACCAGCTTGTAACCGAAAGTGAGTCTGCCTTTTTTCTCACGTGAATGCCTCCGTGTCACTTCTTATCCTATCTAACACTATAACTGCCTCGACATTTTTTTAGTCTACTCGCAATCGATACCCGTAGATGACATGGATCGTATTACTACCATCCGCTACCGAGATTTCAGATTCTCAGGAAGATATATTATGTAGATGTTGTTAATTTTATTATTCTTTACTTTAAACTACTCCGCAGTTTTCTTAATTTATTTTTATTCAAAGGTATATTTGCTTACTAATTTTAATTACCAATATATAATTAATTGGCAATGACAACTATTAATATTTATTAAATATAATACAATATTATTCAATAAAATAATATCCAGATCACAAAAGGCTTTCGATATTCAGAAACATGCTATCAAATGACATGAATAACTAAATAAAACATAATAAACGCGCTCCGAAACGTTAAATAACATTAAATATTATCAAATGGCATTATTAAAGTAATAATAAATTTATGAAAAGTATTCTCGCGATACCTAAATGCAGAAATATATAATTCATCTTCAACATTAGCATTTTAATGAATTATTCATACGGACAATAACGGTATCGTCACTGATAGATATGACAGATAACTGGAAATCGATATTATAATGTACATCTACATCTACAGATAAATTATAGATGCATAATAATATAACTATATCAGGTATAAGTTTGATATGACAGAGCTTACTTTATTTAATTCTATTGAACGGTTTTTAAAATTATGAATTATAAATGATATATCATTTGATATATCCACAGAAAATATATATATTATAAACTGGTTGAACTTTAGTAAAGTGGCTCTACTCTAAACGAATGACTTTTAGTAATTGTGTAAAGTTTTAGGTGAGTGAAACAAAGTAATGAGAAGACGGAGATTCGGATTAATATTACATGTATTAATAAATTTTTGGGGATCTAGGTCACGGCAATATATTAGAGTACTTTAAGTGGTAGAAAGTCATTTGAGCTAAGAGAATAGCTTCCGGCAAAGGTCTTCCGGCAAGCGGCTTCAATTATCGTTCTATGTAATATTGATAAAGCTTAACTAATATACATCTACGGCAGAACATCTCGCAGTCGACCATACCATCGACCCATTTAGAGTGGACTTATACTAACCATCTCGGTAAACGGCTTAGCTTTAGCTTCCGGAATGGCATACTCGGATGATTACATCCGGATTTAGATTCAACCGGCCATTTTTTTACAATTATGATTATCAAAAACAAAAAAAATTCTTTAAATTAAAATAATAATTATCACCACGCTATAAAAATCTTTTATAATTAATAAATCATCTCGCCTAAATAAAGCGGCAATTTAAGTCACGGAAAACAATTTTATGCGAGGTATAGACCGAGTAAATTAACCTCTGATTGCTGTACTTGCAGTTAGATTACGTTAATTATCTAAACAATCATCGTGTGTGTGTGTGTGTGTGTGCAGGTACAAAAAGTAGATCATGGTTCTAACATTGCACACCGTCAGATCGAGACACTGGCAAGTTTAAACATTAAGTGGAAGCGACATGCGAAAGTCCTGTTCAAAGACGCTTGTACCTGTGTAGAGAAACAGTATATACATAATATATATATATATATATATATATATATATATATATATATATATATATATATATACGTATAGACTAATCAAGGTTCGTATTATCGCGAGCGAGTAAAGGCCTAATGAATAGAATTCAGCATATAGCGAAAATGCGGTAAGCTTTAACAATGGAGTATAGAGCGCCTTTCAACGACAAAACTCAAACTGAGGAATGCGGTTACACCTCACTCTCCAGCAGTTTTATGCTAGATTTCTTCTGTACTAAAACAACTAGTTTCTTGCATTCAACTTCTTACTACAGAGTTTGGTCTGGCAAAAATTGCGTTTCAAAGGAAAATAATTCCACGGTGTTAACAATTCAATAGAAAGTTATTTTTTTAGAATTTATGTAACTCAAGTCGTATGATCGCGTCAAAATGACAGTGACAATTGACTTTTTCTCGATTTAGCGAGGACATTAATAAGTCAATCGACAGATGTTGAGGTTAATAAAACACAAAGACCTTCGCGAGACTTTGACAGTTTTTTATCGTAAAATAGAGGTAAATCCGTGGACGAAAACGGAGGAAAGTAAAGCGAATGCGATGGCAAGTCTTGATACAAGAAATTCAGACGGGTCTGTACACATAGACCGACGTGTATAATAGAATCTTGGCCTCTCTCTTTCGCCAGTTTTAAGCGCAGGCAAACGCAAGAGTATAGGCAATGTACCAAAATTGCTTTACCGTCGGTCCATTTACGGAGATGAAAAGCACTCTGTGCCAAATACACCGGTGGCACTCGGTGAACGAGAAGCGTCCTGCCAAGAGCACCATTTGCCACCGTACCGTCCGAAAAGTGTATACATAGATATAACAGTTTCTCAGTATTCCTGTGCTCTGCTTCTGGCAAACCCGTCCCCGTTTCTCCTATTTCACTTTAAACAGTATGACGTTTGATTAGCTTCCCTTTTATCAATGCAACGGTCCTCTGTGCGGACGCAAAGGCCCTTCAATATCGGATTCATTTGATTAAAATTCCTCTCAGCAGCGCTATTATTTGCCGCGCTTTTGTTGTTCAAAGACAGAAATAATGAAATTAATAGTGAATCAGTACAGAGTTCGAGACGGTTGTTTGAAAAATAAAATAATTCAAAGGGCAACAGTTCTATCAAATTCTTCCGTTCCATAAAGTCATTTTGCTGGCACTTATTCTGTGCTCAAGCGCTCCCACATAACCCAACGTCTGATAAAACTCTAGCTCGATGAAGTAGAAACGGTCATTCATCTAGAAGCGATATATTTCCATCTGTGGATGCAATATATACTTATTTGTCACGCATCGGTGGCTGCATTGTGAGTGCAACGAGTTGACAATAACGATAGTTGCTCTCTGCTATTAATCTATTACGTATCTCAGTCTCTGTTTTGCCCTTTATTGTCTATAATCGATCATTATTTTTATAAATCGTACCTTGCAAGGTCAAGTGGTAAAAAATGAAATAAAAAAAATTTTTCTGTATAATTTTAAAAATTTATTAGTCTTATTAATACATTAAAAAATCGAAATAATTTTTATAATGACACTTCATAATGATATAGTTGAGATAGTGGCTGAGAATCCACCGGCTTGTATCTTATCATTACTGCTGAACTCAATTAAAATTTTATTGCTTTTGATAATTTTAGACTTATTTGTCGAGCCGCATTCTCTCGGTAAAAACCCTGCTTTGAATCTGTCCAGAACTTTCATTTTTATATAATCATTAATGCATCTTTTGCTTGGTTCAATATCAAAGTAATTGAATTTTATTGAAAAATAATGACGTCGCGGAGCTGATAAACACCACGTGCATTTTTTATTCGGTTCATAATTATTTGGAAAATTTGGTGATTCCAAAATCATACTCTCATTACTTTTCAATTTCATGTTAAAGCCACATGTTTTTGAGTAAATCGCGGTGAAACCGGTATTATTAGTTTGATAACTTTTTCTTACATAGTCAATTAAAAGGTAATTATTAGTCGAAACTATACTCGATGCACGGCTACCACAATAGCGAGCTGAAAATAATTACGTTGATTTACAAGAAATTCTATTTTCTTTACATAAATAATATTTACCGGAAGCGTTTTTGTTCCAGTATCCATATCTTATTCGCAAATAATCAATGTCGGCTAAATCGAAAGATGTAATGTTCAGGACAACTTGTTCTCCACTTGACGCCGGAATTCTCCATTGACAATGATAGTCTCTGTGAAATGAATCAATTGAATAATTCGGCGATCCAAAATCCCCTGAAGGATCAAATAAAGTTCTTCCACAAACTGAAATTTAAATCAAAGCCTGCTAGAAATATTTCTTAAATATAATATTTGATATTAAATAAACTTACCAGAACAATTATATAGCAAATTAGTTCCGATTATGTCTCTTTCACTCAGCTCTTTTCTAAAACCAATATTAAAAATTTGACTGTCAATTCCGTTAATAGGTACTAGTGTATTCATAGTTTTATTTATTGCAAATGCTTTTTGGGGATAATGCATTATTGATTCGTGATCATACGGCTGGTTTAGTGTGTCAATTTCATCAGAAGATAATTTTTCAAAATCGTTCATGAATTCTATGTAAAATAGTTTATTATTACTAAAAGTTTTAATCTATTAAGTATGAGAAATAATTACCAGGCTTGATGTTGTCTTCAATAATTTTAATATTTTCATCACGATCTGGACGAATATGCTCATGTTCCAAACCAATAACATGACCTAACTCATGTAGAACAGTTCTTACGTGAAAACAACCATTGTTTAAACTCAATTGATGAGGGCCCGTTTGGAAATAATTATAATAATAACAGCACCTTAAATATTCAATAGCAAATTAAAATGTTAAAATTATTATCAACTTACCCGCAACTTAATTTATCAATAGCGACGTATTTTGGATGAAGGTCTTGAATCCTTGGAACAAATTTAACACATGTTGATTTTTCCCAAACTTGCATAGCTTTTCTAATTAATAAATATTCTTGTCCGGTAAAATTACCTTCAAACTGATAAGGTATTACTCCTTGATCCCAGAAACGATTCACATTAGCATTTGCTGCTATTCTTTTGCTTCGTAAAAATGTATCATTATTTTCAAAAAAATCATAATCGATGTTTTTAATGTTTTTAAATCTAAGTATACTTCCAAGTATTTCATAAAAATTCATTGTGAATACAATTAAATAAAAAATTTTAGAAAAGAAAAACAACTTGAATTTCATTTTAAAGAAATTGAAAAAAAAAGACTCTTTTGATTGATATTTTATTACTAAAATGACAGTGGCTTATATTTTTTAATAAATATCTTTTATATGTTAAAAACAACTCAGATTAAAAGAATTCGATGACTTTAATATCTTATTAACGACAATGATATCAGAAAGCTACTAAAGAAAGGTTGCTATTGGTGAAGTGATGAGATTAAATGGAAAAAAACAAGTTAATTTCATTTTTAAATCAATTTTTAATTATACCTCGCATCATCATTATATTTAAAAATAGTTATTTATCAATTAATAAGATACCAGTGAACTCGTCGAAAAAAAATCTTCATCAAAGTCTACAAACCTATAGCAAAAGTCCATTATTTTATAAAGTTAATCTACCATAAAAAGTAAATAAAAATAAAATAGATCTTGTGTATTTCCCATAGACGTCCACATATTCAATTACCAAACCATATTTGATCTATAAAAAAAATAAATGAGAGCAATAAATAAACATAGCATCTAAAATCTATTGATATCCAGGGTTTTGTTGTAAACTGTAACAATATAGAGTTTCATAGGGTCGGAGAAGAGAGTAGATCAAAACGGCGGTATAAAGGAGGTCACCGACGTCACTTTCACCACCTCTACACTTACTGTAAGCGCTACTGTCGGCAGAGCCGCGGGCCAGACTGTCGTGAAACCCTCAACTCCGCAACAACCGGTATTGACGAAATTGATTGCCGAGCTTTATATATACAGAGAAGGTGTAGGGTGTAGTGTAGTGGTGGGTCCTTCCATCATCCGTTCGTCTCTTACTCCCCAGCGTTTTCCAATTTATTTCATCTCACACTTGTTTGTCGACACAACTCAGCTCCCCGCTCTTGAAGTAACTCTGTTTAGGTGGCGTTGCCTCCCAAAGAAGGACAGGCAGTAGGACTTGGTCTAGTCATTTAGCTGCTTGCTTGCTTACTCTTTCGCCCCATCATTTTATGAGCCAAAGGGTGAGAAAACATTGTTACTAAAAGTTACTCTTTTCCACACAATATTCGGGCCCCCGAGTGAACTAACTCGTCCTCTGTGTAGTACAACGCGACTACATCTACGACCACGCTATCTTTATCTCTCGTCTCTATCTCCGTATCATCCCTGGCTCTCTTGACGAATAAGCACGTGTTACCGCCCCGAGGGACAAGGGTGAGGTTATGTACTGCTGTATATACACACTATACACTATTATATACACTGTACGCTATCGAGAACCTGAACACGACGACTGGGCAAGTGAAAAAGAGAGATACCGAGGGTGAGGAGCCAATGCCTCCGGGTACACTTTGAAATTAAGCTCTAGTTATTCGTCAATCATCTTGTTGTACTAATGAATTTTTTATTCTATTTATAAAGCTTTTATTTTTTTCAATTATTATTTATGTTTTTGATTAAAAATAAATTAACGATGTCAAGACACAACTTGAATTACAAATAATGAAATTAATAACTAATAAATGGTAACAAGCAAGTCACTACCGCAGAAAGAGTTTCCAGTGAGGCAAGTTTTACAACTTTTAAGAGTTCTTTTAAAGACAGCTACTTGCCCGAGACCGGTACGGTGAAAACTTGAGAGTTACGCCTATACGCTTTCAAAAAAACAAAAGTACTTTACTCAGTTTACTTTTGCTAGCCTTCGGGCCATCCACTTTACTTTCCGAGGCATTTAATGTCATTATTCTTTTGTTAAATATATATCAAGATACGTTAACGCACCGAGACTTTACGATTTTTCGATAGTTAAACCACAAGTTGAGTTATTCTTAACTTTTCTTCTACTTAATAAAACTTTTTCAGTTTATATTATAACTAAAATATCCACTAAGCTTCTTATTATCATCGTATCATCCGATAAATCGCTCAATAATTATTCATGTAATATTGATACTATCAGTAGTATGAATTATATAAATCCCCGACTGCGAAACTGTAATAGTTAAGTATTAATATAATCCTCAAAAATTTTAATCAACACTCGGAGTATTCCTATTGGAATATTAATACTTACCCGGGTCAAAAAATTTAGTCTGTTTTATGATTAATAAAATTTTTTAATATTTTTCATTCAATTTAATTTTATTATGTGTATCTATTTTATATGAGAATTTAATCTGTTTTTGCCCGTACTATTCACAATTCAGACCAATTTTAGATCATTTTTAATGTTATAATAAAATTGTTTTCTATTGTTTCAAGACCAAAATCAGACTTTTTTTGTCACAATCATTTAGCTGGTTTTGATCGCATCAAGGTCAAAAACAGATCAAAACGTTCAATATAATTTTTAGTCGGTTTTTCATCGCCTGTAGATCAAAAACCGACCTTTCACGAATTTGATAATAATAATAATAATATTAATAATAATAATATTTTTATTTATTATTATTTTATTCATGTCCTCGAAGATCCTCTACAGGGCACGGCTTTTCATTCTCTGAAACTGAAATAGTAACCATTCACTATTTCGTAGTGCAATGTATACCAAACGGTATTCTTTGCACTACCAAATAGTGAATACCGCTCATTAAATGATGCGTGAAAGTATAAAATTTAACATTAATCTTGTCAACATTTTAATCTTGTCTCGATGTATTCACATTGTGTTTATTAACGATAATTAGAAAACTCTAGATTTAGATCCATAATCAAACGATGAGAACTATTTTATAAACGTATATTAATACAAATTTATTAGTTATCACTGCAACTAATATTCGCAGTTACAAAACTTTTATAATTCATGAAATGTTGAGCTATGACAAATAAATATGACAGATGTAAGGTTATAATCGACGTTCAGTTCATAAAACAAGAGAGCGCATGAATATATTATAAATTAATTTATTTTTTCAAATAAATGCGACTTATAATTTTTAATGAGATACTTTTAAGTCCAAAAAATTATGTCACCATCTTAGTCGACTTTTGGCTTTCGAACATTTAGAGTGAAAATTGTAGATCAAAAACAGTATAAGATTTCATATTGAATTTGAAAACAATATATAAAGTCCATCTACAAATTAACTAGACTAAAAACCGATCAAACTTTTTAGTTTCATTAGATTAGAAACAGCATAAAATATTCATAGCTGCTCAATTATTTTACTAAAAAGGTTATTTAGACTTAAAACAGATCGAAAATAATTTGAATAGTAGATCAAATACAGATGAAAATGTTTTTAAAAGTTCAAATACAGATCAATAAGTTCAAATGCAGATCATTTAGCTTAAAATCAGTTTAAATTTTTCGACCTGGGATAATACTGCAGAAAGCTGGATTATTAAATGGATTTTTAATCGGTAACTGTCTCGACAGCAGACTCCAGTCAACGCTTTTACAAATTCAACCAACAAATAAATTATATTCGAATACTAAATAGTATAACTACAGACAGAACGGGAGTTTGATTGATTCAAAAGTTGTTTAATAATTTTACCGATGAAATTCTTGGCGGAAATTTCATTTTTTATTCAAGAGAGATCGATTATAAACTCCTCCCTCGTCCCCTAATCCGTATAATAATGATTTTCGTGAGGTTTTTATTTCCCGTAATGGAGTCATATGAAATTTGGTATGCTTTTATGAATTTTCAATATCTCTCAGTGCTCTCATACATCTCTCACATCGCTTTATTCTTGCAGCACTGTAGAGAAGATACCCGAGAGCGTCGTCTTATATTCCATCTCGCTATTTTCTTTACTTTATTTTTTCTCAGTCTCTTTCTCTCCTCTCGTCTATCTGCCTTTCCTCCTTTTCCTCGTCTGCTTCTCGTTTTGGAAAGTCATAAAATATCAGCGACCATCCCCACAGCGCCCATACGTACGTACATACATGTATATAAAGTGAGACAAGTTGGAGAAGAACAAGAAGAATCTTTGATAAGAGTAAGAGGAAGAGGGCTAAAAATACATGTATAAAGTATATGAAAACTGCAAGCTCCTCTTACCTATTTTTCCTTTCATATTTCTGCCGGGAGATCGGACATTATGGCTTTCGGAAACGGGTACTACATTAGAGAGAGCCACTCTGATATTTATGAATCCCCATCCGCGACTTGCTTAAAACTCTCTTTCTTTCGCTTTGCTCTTATCTTTTTCCCTCTGGTTGATTTTACAGAAAGAGTGAACCAGAGGCCAAGAAAATTCGTGTGTACCGTCAGGAAACCCACAAAAGTCGAATAATGTCACTCACGAAAACGTTTACGTTCATCGAGGGAGACCAAAAGAGCTAACGCAAATAAAAACTTTTTAAAATAAAATAAAGACACCGAGAAATAACATTTTGAGAAATTTCAAAAGTTACCCAACCATCAAACAAAACAAAAAAACCATAAATTCTTAAGAAATACTTAAAGATAGATTACATGAATTTTCCAAGACGTGTTTGCCGACTCGGCAACCATAAATGCTCCGTCATTACGCACGTAAGCTCCTTCTAAAATTTATTCCCAAACCAACTTTACTATTGCATTGATGTGCAAACTTATGTAAAACGCTCAAAACCATAAGGATGATACAAATTTCATCAGCTTGCGTAGTTCAGTGACGCTGCCATCAGATGGCGCTCTTGCTTGAGCCTATTCAAATTGAATTGAATTTCACTAAATCCCTACAGCTTCAATTGCATTATGAAGCTTTGATATTCCGTGTAGAGTATCATTATTATTATTATTATTATTATTATTATTATTATTCTAAAGACTTTAATTGAACCAAAAAAACTAAAAATTTGAAATGCGCTTTTAGTTTCTCGCAAATGTCTGGGGAAAATAATTAAAAATCAGAAAAACAATAACAGTGGGCAACGAAATTAAAAAGAAGATAACAATAAATAACTGTTGAGAGTGTAGTGCAGTATATATAAATGGAAAACGGAAATAAATGACGATAAAACGAGTAAACTCAGTAGTTGA